AAAAAAATTATTAAATATTTTTATTTTTAAAAAAAATAGATCAGACATGAATTTATAAAATTTAAGCAGACAAATTTGCCTGCTTATTTGGACAGTTTATGGGATAACAATTATAGTCAAAATAATTATAATTGACAATGAGAACTATATGATCCAAATGATGAATATGAAGCAGGAGGATCATCCCTATGATACGAACCAAAAGAAACTAAATGGACTAGAACTATAGAATCTGAATAGAAAAGACAAAAGGTCCTATACTCAGTACCAAAGAGACTATCAATATTAACAAATGATAACTAGAGAGATGTATTTAAACATACAGAACCAGCACATGCATGAACAGAAAATACAAAACATAAAGAATACCTAGAAGATCTAGCTAAACATAAAACAGAAATAGATGAAGAATCAGAACCAGAGCAAGGATATGGTATACCGGGAAATATATCTGACATAACAGATGTAAATCTTAATTTCTATAAAGAAATAAAAAAACAATATCCTACTCATATTAGATATATTATATTACCAACTATACAAGAAGGAAAAAATGCTAAATACTAAATATTAGCAAACAAAGAAACAGATATACCTCCTATGACTATAGGCATATAAAGATCCAAAAACCAATAAAAGAAGATCTTTATATAAAGACTACAGCCAAAGAAGCCAAAGAAGTGGTAATTGTGCAGCCTGGAATAGCAAATGGAAATATATAACAATAATGAATTATTCTGATAAAAAATTCAGTATCAGAAAAGGACAACACATAGCAAATGGAGAGAAAGTCAAAATTAAAAATTTTGACGTAAAGAAATAGAAGAATTTTGAACCGAAAATTAACCAAAATTTTCTTCAAAAATTACCAACTTTTGACGAACCCATTGAAAGTGAAAAGAAAAGAATAAAAATACTTAAAGACCGCTGTCTTGAAACTGGAAGACATGAAGTATGGAAATTAATCAGACATATTTTAACAAAATATGTCAACGTATTCAGAGAAAAAAAGAATTCTATACATTTGTAAACCCTAATATAATCGAACTCGTAGAATTCATATTTAAACCAGAAATCGATAAAAGAAAGATATCATTGAAAGACAAAATGCAAGGGGGAAGAAAATACTCTGAAGACTTAATTGTTCTTGTTCTGATTGTCTGAATACTTCTTGTCTTTGTTGGTTTTCTCTTCGAAATTGTTCTAATCTTGGGTTTTTTACTGAGGATGATTGATTTGAAAGTTGTGACCTTTGTCTTTTATGACCATATTTTAGTAATACTGGTTGGTCATCATCACTTATTGGTGCATAAAGACTACTTGATTCTGATATTATATTAGTTGATTATACTTCTTTTATCAGTAGTGATGATTTATATTAATGTTGTTTAGAGTGGAATGATTGTGTTGATTGCATTGAATTTCTTCTACTTAGCATCTGTTGTGCTGCACTTAATATGTCTTGCACCATACCTTTTGCTTTATCAAAGAAGGTTGGTGATGTTGGCGAGCTTGGCCTTGTTGTTATTCTTGATATTGTTTGTTCTGGTATTTTGGTATACTGATCTTTATCTTGTTTATTTAACCATTCTAATATTCTTTCAAAGTTATCATCTAGTAACCATCTGTCTGCCATTTGTTCTGTTTCTCATGGTTCATTTACTGTTGGTTTATATTCTTCATGATATGGATGTTTCAATGTTAATGTTTCTGGTAACTCTAGGTCTTGTCTTCTGGCTTTTTGTTGTTTCTAAAATATTCGTTCTTTTTCGTCTTCTACGTCATGCACTTTATCTAGGTTTTCTAGTGATGCTCCCAATAATTCTCTATATTTTGCTTGATATTGTTCTTGTAATGGTTCACTTTCACATTGTTCCATTTGCCTGGCGAATCTTTCCATTAAGATTTGTTGTTCATACTCTTGCATTGCTTCAAAATCTTTTCTGTCTAAGTTTAATGCTTGATTAGTTGCATACCCATATTCTTCTTCTAGATCTTTTACTAGATCTTTATTCTTCTAGAGAATAGTATCTTTTGTTTCTGTTAATGCAGATATTGGTTTGTATATATAAGCTTTTTTGTCTTCAGCTGTTTCTGCTTTTAATATTTTTCTGTTTGTGACCCTTTCAATTTTCTGAATATGTTTATTAGTTTGTTGTCTTGATAATTGGAAAACATATTTATAATTTGTTTCCATTAGGGTGCAGGAAAAAAAACCTGATCGATTTCAGAATTTTTAAAAGCTATAAAAATAGTGTTCCACAATTAATACCTAGGCCGAAATTACGTATGCAATTAGTATGATAAATACACTTTTAGCAAATAGGCTCTATTTGTATCTCTTACATGCCTGCTTCCCATAATAAATTTTCAAAGTTGAACAGGTCAGGCCCAATAGGTTGCGCCCAGGCCCGACTCGTTCAACTTTGAAGACTTATTACTGGAAGCATGTGTAAGAGATACAAATGGAGCCCATTTGCTAAAAGTGTATTTATTATACTAATTGTATATGTAATTTCAGCCTAGGTATTAATTCTGAAACACTATTTTTACAGCCTTTAAAAATTCTGAAATCGATCAGGCTTTTTTTCCCGCACCCTAGTTTCTATACTGTTTAATCATTGTTTTAGCTGTCTTAATCCAGTTCAAATTCTTGGATCTTTTTGTTCCTTTTTTTGTTGTAGAATTCGATCTAATTGTGACAATTGTGTTTTAATAAATGTTCCCATTTTTTGGTAATTTTACTTTGCTTTCTCCTTGTTGATTAAAGGTAATATTTAAGCTTTTAGCTTTGCCTTTCTTGTTTTTTTTAGTATTATCTTTTCCTATTACTTGTTCTCTAAATTGATTTATTTTCCTTTGAACTGCTTTCAAATATAATTGATTTATTTCTTTTCTTGTTTATTTTGCGGTGCTTCATGTTCCACTGCAACTGTCATTCGTTGTACTTGTTCT